GCTTTAGCATTTCATAGGTTTCCGTAGCCGTTTTGGCGAGTCTTTGGCAAGAGATTCAGGCAGAATCGCAGATGGTGCTTGACAGGCTGACAAAGAAAGGTTTCCAGGGATGCTTCCAGGCTTGGCAGCGGCGCTGGGATCGTTGTGTTCACTCCCAGGGGAACTACTTCGAGGGTGATGGATGAATTTAATACCTGAGATAAGTGTACGCGTTTTTATACGAGCAGTCTTGAAACCTTCCGATCGCACCTCGTAGCTCGAGAATATGGGATGTGCGATGTTTTCACTACTAAAGCTGCCAGTTGGAAGTACAAGGACACGATAACATTATCAGAGATCTTTGGAAAATGGGTTGTGAGGAGGTCAAATGGATGAAGGTGGCTAAGGATATTTAATGATGGATTTAATCTTGTATTTCCGCTCTCAGAGAGTTAGTATTATATAGGTTATGTTTTGTGTTACCGCTGTTTTTTTATTACAAATACTTGCTGTTATTGCTGAGTTATGTGTTGCTACTCCCACTTCAATCCCACAGAATTCCATCCATTATTTCAAAATGTCGGATTAATTAAACCTGTGTGTTTGTATATGTGTATACGATAGCTGCTGTCATCTGTCGAAGTTTCTGGAAGTGTGGCTTTGTGTTATTAAGCTCCGCATTCTCTAAGCTTCGTGGCTCATTAGTGGTTTATTACTAAGAGGAAAGTTTGATTTTCGTAACATTTTGTGTGTGCTGAATCAGGCTTTCTGTCATCATGTGGGAATCACATTATTCACATTTTAGTTCATTATTAGGAATAACTTTGATGCTTGTATTTAAAATTCCGAAGTATGGCTGTTTTATGTGCTATTTCCGCAATTTATGCACATTTTAAAGCGACACCCTCTTTTGTGAAGTGAGAGAATTTATTAACTAGAACATTGACCTCATCTCGTGTAACGCATTGCAGTGGACGTTGCAACATTGTGGCAAGTTTTAGTGACATGCTGGTGTAGTAAATATCGTGCCTGTGGAGTCAGACGTACATTGGATAAGTCTAAATTAAATTTATGGTGTGAATACTGGTTCTAACATAATACATAAGGAAATTAATATTACTTAAGGTCTCATGAATGTGTTTGGTGTTCGTGCTACAGACCTGCAGAAAGAACTGGGTAGATCAGCATTGAGCGTGGATCGTTGGCACTTCAGACAAACGTTTTGTAAAGATGTACATACTGTAGCTTATGATATAACCAGATTTGTTTAAATTATTCTTTTTTTAGTCCTGAAAATATTACATATAGTAGTAATTTATTCTACTCATAGCCATTCACTCTACTGACTGAACTACTTTTCTCAGTTTCTGCTGTTCTGTACTGTTCCAACACTGGATAGTTGGGATAACTATATCACTTAGTTTGTTTCGTATATTTTTCTCTGATGAAAAGATTGTGATCAGATTCTGTTTTAAGAGCAGGTCTAAACCCTGTCTTCCGCTACTCACAATTTCTTTTGTTTTACTTCCAGGTTGAAACATCCAAACATAGTCCAGCTCTTGGAAACTTTTGAAGACAAACATAAGGTGTATCTGATTATGGAACTGTAAGTAAGACGTTAGTGTACCGTGTTACTGGTAGAATAAGACAGAATGGCGGTGAGAAGTTTAAAAGTGAAAGTCTCTTACAAATTCGAGTGTATGTACATTCAAATGCGTGTTTCAAAGGAAAATAGTGTAAATTAACTCTCCTGATAGATTTTATTACGAGAAATATTCATGGTTATTATTTTAGCACGTATATTTCGGAAGACAACCATCTTGCTTCCTACCATTGTCAGGTTTGGTAGCTAAAACGTTTTCAAACATTGTGTTATTTCTGTGCAAATTCTGTAGTAGCCAAAATTGTAGTAGGTCTCGTTGTTCATTTTTGATCCTTATCTGTATAACTTTTTATGGGATGTTAAACTAGGTGACATTCACGTTGATACTGTTACTTGTTTTGTTTAACTGAAGAGAATTATTTCGAGAGTAGACAGCAGTGCGTGTGCTATAAAGGTAGTAGACGTATTTGAAGATTTTTCTTCATTCTTCTCGTTTTATTTCTTTGTACATCACACACTTTCAGCTCTGTATCTTGAAACGTCTAACTTGCATAACGCATAGAGCACAAAATATTTTGATCATGGACGTACTGACGGAAACCTGTACCAAAGTAAAAAAAAAATCAAGGTATAATCAGTCCGTTACTCCCCTAATTCTAAAACAAGTGTGAAAATTGTAGCCATTAGTTGGCCCAATTTTAGTGAAAATTTGTATTTAATTCATGCCACTGGATACCTCCCCACCTTGGTATCTTTGTTATCAATAGTGCCGACAGGTAACAACCACTGGCACAAAGATTGTATGGCAGTAGATCTCCGTAACTTATAATAAAGTATTTTGAAGAAAATTACTTCTGTGCGAACCGTTTTCATGCAATTTCATCTCTGACGAATGAGATCAGACGTTCTCACTGCGGTGAAGACTTGTAGATATCAATGTTTTGGAGGTTCATATTGCCGTCATCTTCAGGGATATTTATTTTATGGTGACATGTTAAAAGATATTACTAATAGTGAGAGTGTTTTTTAAACCTACACAGTACAATTCTTCGGAACCCAATAAAGCACTATCTCAGATCAGGAACTGTGGGTAAACCGTGTTTTTTTTTAAATCTGTCCTCCGGTAATGATTGCGCAGGAGCGATGGATAGAATATGTTAGGTTAATTATCGTTATGAAATCCGCGAAACCTTTCTGAATGCCTGATGGCTCCATGTTGTTTCGCAGAACACAGTTTGCGAATCGCTGATGTAGCTAATTCGCCTGGACGGATCCTGTGTGGTTCATAACGATAATGAATTCACTGCAGTGAATTTGTCGCCGTGTGGTGATACTTCTATTGATTGATTGATTGATTGATTGACTGGTTAATTGGCCCCAAGTGATCCCGCTGAAAGCTCATTTTGTTGAATGTGGAACGTCTTGGCAGGTTGCATGATAATGTTGAAAATGTTTTTTTCTTCTGAATTCTAACGCCGTGTACACTCATAGGTAATTACCAGCGTTTCGGAGAAACATACTGTTTCCATCGTCAGGGCTGAGATTTTCAGTATGGTAAAACAGCTTTTGGTGTTCGTAAATCGCTTTATATATATATATATATAATATTATATATATAATATTATTTATTGACTTCGCATTTTATGTTGCTGAATCGTAACACATTTAAGGGCACTGTAATGTCGAATGACATGTGAGGGTGCATGTGGGTTAGACTATGCGTCATGTATTTGAGTGGTCTTAATACATTACTGTCCCCGTATTCCTCTGGAGGGGCGAACTAATTGCAGGGTAGTACAAACCAAAGGCCAACACTGTAAATTCTGAAGCACGCCATTTGACACCGCCCATCCAGGTCTCTCCTTGCTAATCCTTACAACGTGTTTATCTAAGATACGTCTTAATATTGTCGTACCATCACTTTCTTGGTCTTCCTAGTAACCACTTTTTTGCAGTTTTTGTATCAAAATGCGTATAAATTTATTGTAAACTCATTACTACTAGATCTTTAGTGCGATTAAGAATTTTGCTGACTGGTAATGAGAGCTTTGGCGATAGTCGTGGGCTGTTTAGACGTATTAAAACTAGAATCCGGCGGAGAAAATAAGAGAATTGATGAATACCTGCGCCATGAACAGAAGGAAGGAGAGAGAAATGTAGTCTGTTTCGAGATATTGACCTAGCATTCGCCTAGAGGAAACAAGAATGACGGAACGACGGAAAACTCATTCAGAATTCCTAGTTGTGTGCATTGCAGTTCCTTCCGAATTCGAGACAGACGCTTCAATGTGAAATGAACTCATTCAGTATAACAGCCCGCTGCCTGACCCAGACTCCTATCGATCCAAACTTCGTGGCCTATTCATCTTAGATAACTTTTATCTTATTATGTCGATGGCCACCCTCAGAAGTCTCGAACGAGAAGCTAGCTGCGGCCGTGCAAGGGAGGTTTTGCGGGCTTGTAAAACTTCAAACACAGTTCTTGCACATTGTTCGTAGACCCAGAAAACTTTTCAGAACTTGGAAACCAGCGTTCGAGTTTTCAATCCCTCCTTTCAAGAGTCACTACGTGCTATCATTACTACAGCGAAACGCGTTAATGACATCGTATTAAAGTCTAGGCATGCATGGGAGGATAATATTAAAATGGGTCTTAGGGAAATAGGGTTTAGATTGCATTCATCTGGCTCAGGATAGGTACCGGTGGCGGGCTCTTGTGATCAGGTAATGAACCTTAGGGTTTCATGAAAGGCGAAGAATGTCTTGACGAGCTAAGCTTCTGAAGATAAACTATGCTCCATGGAGTTATGGACCCATATTTTCATTACCGTGTTCACAAAAGCCCGCCATTTGTGACTGCCCTCAACCAGCTGAATGCAGTCTGCAGGCACCATATTTATTTGAGACCAGTTTCAGTATTAACCTTCCATCTAAATCAAGGTCTCTCAAGTTGTCGTCCGTTTATTCGTTGTTTATCAGTCGAGTTGTTAATATTTTTGTCGACGTTACAGTTAGACATTAACAGTACAGCTCCTGTTACGTTGTTGATAACACAGTGAAGTTAAAACCGATATTACATAGGATTCAATCAGTGTTTGATTCAACGGTTCTGCGTCTCCACGATCCACTAAGACTACTTAATGTAAACACTAACCACCTGTAAGTGTTGATGGACAGATATAATACCACACTTCTTCTTATTCGCCCCTGCCTTCCATTTTGCGCAGGACTACTCGAGCCACTTGATCATGTCTTCACAACGAATTATGTTGTCGTTTATTTCATACTTTGTGCTAACAAAAGCGACCTGAAAAGATAAATTGGGCGGGCTTTTTTCAGTGGCATGCGCGAACACCGCCAACTCTTTGTTAGTTCTTGTTTCAGTTGTTACAGAACAGCTGATGGGTGGTCGTATGGCCTTAGGTTACTTAACCATGCTGTCGATGTATCAGCGTCAGCAGCAATGGTAGTAGTAGTAGTAGTAGTAGCAGCAGTAGTAGTAATAAAAAATCTTAAGTTTGTTGTCTTTCTTTTCCCTAGTCTTTCCAGGTAAATGACAGTGTAATAGCTTAAAATAAACTGAGATCGCTACTTTTCAAATTCTTCCCAGTTTATCATTCGTGCCTAACTTGTGTGTATGAAAAAGCGTGGTTACATAAATCTATGCATAAACGATGCAGTATCATGTGCAGGGTCTAGGCACACACTCCCATATATGTCGATGTTGGTCTTGTGGATTGTAACGCCATGCAGATTTGTAGGTAGCTACAGATGTCAGTAATAGTTGTATTCAGAGTTGTAGCGTTGTGTTGTCTAGTAGGGGTTTATTGACATTTCAGAGGCCCTTGCTGTCTTCATCATCTACATCTTCCTAAAGCTTTTCGTGCAAGATCCTGTTGAAGATAATAGCTCGAAATTTTCCAGAAGCCCGATATGCATATTGTAATTGATATTGTAATTCGCCACGTAATACGTTTCACAGTTATTGAATCATTGACTCGAGGTGTCCGTAGATTAATTTGTGTTTTTTAACATCCGTCACCTTCATAATTTGATTTGCATTTAATCAAAGGATGGCTTGGCAGGATTCTGTGAAGTTGTATATAATATATACTGAGAAGTTTCTTTTTTGAAAAACAGAGAATATATAAATAATGTTAGTAGCATTTAGCAGTGCGGCGTTGTGTTGTAGCAGCGGATGTAGAATTTCACATTTCAAATTTTGTGTGCACTCCGTGATCCCTTCAAAACAGCAAAAATAGTAAAAAGGTGATATTGAAATCACCGTGAAGTACAATAGGTTTACTAAGAAGTGTGCACCGGGTATTGGTTGGTAAGCCTGAGGGGAAGAGACCTATGGGGAGACCTAGACGTAGATAGGAGGATAATGTCAGGCGGGATCTATGGGAGATAGGAGTTGAAGGAGACTGGATTTTGTTGGCCCAGGATGGTGGAGGGCTTTGGTTAATTCGGTGATTAACCTTCGGGTTCGGTAAGCCATCTAGTTAGTCAGTTAGTTAGTTAGTATAATCTTTCACTTTTCCTCCACCCCAATGGAGGCGATGTGGATGTTGAATCGGGAAACGGATTGAAGGAGTCAGGGTGTTCTGCATCAAACGAAAGGATCTGAAAATGGTTGAAGATGTCTGTCTTCTGGTATTTGCAACGTGTAGTCTGGTAGATATTGACGACGTTTCAGTGTTTACTGCCTCGAAACCAAAAATCAGTTTAGTTACCATGCTGCTCAGCCGTCCTGCCATCTGCTAAATTACAACTGAATTAAGTATATAAACCTTTACCACTATGGCGACAGCGTCTTCGGAGGCAGAAAAGTCTTAAGACGCTAGAACCACGTTATTATAGAGGGCTTTAACATTCTCATTGTGGCCCCATAACTCTAGAAATTCGGCAGAAGTGCTTTACTTAATTTCATGTACTTGACACAGGGTCACTGGCGGCGAGTTGTTTGACCGGATTGTCGAGAAGGGCTCATACACAGAAAAAGATGCATCCGATCTTATTCGGCAAGTGCTGGAAGCTGTGGACTACATGCATGAACAAGGCGTTGTTCACAGAGATCTCAAGGTATGGCTACTTACCATTAAGTATCAGACTTGATAATAAGTGAGAGAGTCGGGGGTGTGCTGCAGAGGCCCCGGGGGACTCACGCGAGCTCCTTGTTAATTTTTCAGTAATTATCTGAACCCTTTATCGGCATAGTATCAATTTTCCAGGTGACACGCCAGTATCAACATAACGATAACACACTTTCTTCTAATTTCATATGCAAATATGCTTTCATGCTCTTCTAAAGTTTCTTGGATTGTGTGACTGGAACCTGGACATTCTATACAGTTTCACTCCATCTCTGTCAACTGTCGCGTGTTATCAGTGTTGGACATTAATTCTTTTTTTCTTGTTTCAGCCGGAAAACCTCCTATACTACAGTCCAGATGAAGACAGTAAAATCATGATCAGTGATTTTGGACTCTCCAAAATGGAAGATTCTGGCATAATGGCCACAGCATGTGGGACCCCAGGCTATGTGGGTGAGGCTTTTTCTCGCCCTCCCCTGGTGCATCTGTACAAGTAGGGTCATAGTTTCAAGTGGGTCATTGCACAGAGATGCTCGTCGCACTCGTCACGTGGTTGAAATTCATAGTTTTATGTAGACTGTATTACTCCCTCTTAAGATATCCGTTAATCTTCTGTCTTTTCATTATACATTTATTTTTGAAACATACTGTAGTGTTATGTTTAACTTTACCTTTAGCACATACAAAAATGATGATACACATTTTTGTATATATTATACAATATGATCGATTTTGACAAACTCATCATTATCATGTGTTATTTTATTTTGCGTGTGTAGCAAGGAGGCTTTTCACGGTTGTTGGAACATGCAGTTTCTTGTATTCTTATCAACTTGGTTGGTTGTATAACATTCCTCGTTGCTTAAATAATTGAAATAATACATGATTGTAAGTTGTCATAAAACTGCACTGTATTATATAAAGTATACAAAAAAGTGTGTGCGCATGGCAGAATTGTATATAATGAAACAAAGTTCTATTTCTTGCCATCAATTTGCACCTTGGATGGACAGATTTTTTATGATTTTAATCCCCACAGTCACACCAAAATAATTTTAAAATTTAAGATCTTTTTGAACAATTTTAATGAATTATAATTTTAGACTAACTGAAAGTGCCAGTCCGGAGTTGAATGAAATTTACATGCTCACTCATAAAAAGACAGTATCAGTATTTTTGCACATCTACGTGGTAGCGAGTAAACATAATTTATGTTTTTGTTTCTTTCATGAATATAATTAAAGTGGTAGCTACCAAATGGAAAATTAAAACATTTTCTGCTTTTTTCTGGTGTTGCACAGGTGCATAAATAAGCACTTAGTGCCAAGGACGAGTTTCATAAACAGCGTCCCCATTCTAATACCAGAGAAATCTGCATGTTATTTGTCCTCCTGCACATTAGTGGCCTGGAAGAAACCGTGCAAGTTAAACAGCTTTTTTTCCATTTGCTTTGTATGGGTCATAAATGTGGCCAGTGGAAAATATTTTTGTATAAGAACAATGAAGTGTTCAGCTTTCAATATTACGTGATTAATTACGTCACGGGTTTTACGGATCACCTAGTTTTATTAGGATAGTGAAATCTAGGAGGCTACAATGGGCTGGGCTTGTATCTAGGTTAAGAAAGACAAAAAATGTGTAAGAATTTGGGTAGTTAGAGCTCTTGGAAAATGACCCCTCAGTAGACGAAGAAGTGTGAGAGTAATATTAAAATAGATATTAGGGAAACAAGTGAGAATAGGAAGTGGATCAAACTGGCTTTTAAGCTTCACGTAATTACTGACCTGTGTATTATATACCAAGGAAGTTTGCATTAAATAAGATATTTCTTCTTTAAATAAATTATCTTCATGGGATGACAAACATTTAACGTATTGTCACTTGTTTTTGTGGCTATTATCAAAATTATAGGCTTAGTTCCTAGGTTAAACCACTTTGTTTTCTTTGATTTACTCGTGAGTGAGCAATTTGTAGCTGAATATGTCTGGTTATGTGGATAGTCACATAGTAATGTGATCTGTGTTTGATCCAGTTAGTGAGAGGCCAGCTTCAGTGTTTAAGAATGCTTATTGGCTTGGATTGAAGAACTGGAACATGTACCACTTGCTCAGTCTGTATTCAATCTATGTTCATGTTTTATTTTGTTTTAAGAAGGGTATAAAAATATTAGTTTCCTTCTTTGACAGAAATTTATCATATGAGATTACATACTCAAATTTTTCTCTTCAGTTTCTTTTTTCTTGCTAAAATACGTTAAATTATGAAAATCCATTCCGTACATGATCATATACTGCTGTTTTAATGTTTTGTATCTTCAGTTTGCTGCATGAGTTAGAAATGTCTCCATTTATTCACTGTCTTATAATACTTCAGCATAATTTATTTATGTTCTTCTCTGATTACCTACAATAAATTACTTAAATAGTAAGATGTAAGTGCAAGAAGAGAGACTGAAAACTTCTCACATTTACTGTACCACACTCTATCAGCATCCTTGGTAAAAGCTCTTAAATATCTTCTTCTATGGCTATCTGGTCTGTATTCGGTCCATGGCCTCCTCAATTCTCCTCTTCTGTTAGGAGCTCTTAAATATGATGATGTTAATAATCTTGTACCTGAAAACAAACAGAGCAACGCGGATGCCAGGATTGATGCAAGATATTTAAAGATACAATTTAAAATTAGTTTAACCCACTGTCAGACCTAATGCATTCGATTGTATTAAATTCAAGTGGTTGCTTCCGTACTGACATTATCAACGTGTAATGACTTTCATATATAGCGTATAAATTTGCTTACTAGGGTCATGATACAATAAAATTAAATGGCCGGTGAAATATCCAAGATCCACTTCATTTGCTTGACACTTCAATGCTTTCGAAATTGTCTTACCCTTTTGTGTATCTAAACATGGTTCCAAGGCTGTGTAGCGTAACTTTAAAACAAGAGGTTTAGTCTTCTGTAATTCAGTTAAGACTGATAATTGGATTTGTTTATTTTTTATTTATTTATCTCTTCATCCATTCATGCCAGTAGCCTAGTTTAAAGAAACATGATCCATTGTTTTCTTTTATAATGGTTGTCTGATTATAATGTTTGCTTTGTTCCAGCTCCTGAAGTACTTGCCCAGAAACCTTATGGCAAAGCGGTAGATGTTTGGAGCATAGGAGTTATATCTTACATTCTTCTTTGTGGATATCCACCATTTTATGATGAAAATGATGCAAATTTGTTTGCCCAGATATTAAAAGGTGTTGTGTTAATCTTTTAAGTATATCTTTGTCTATGGGTGTAATATCTGAGTTAACAATGTATAAGTTTCTTTAGTTTTTTGTGTCGAGGTTTTACTAAAACAAAGTGAAAACTAGAGTTATGACAACTTATATTTTACTCCATAAATTATATGTTCTGTGTGAAGAAATTTTGTATAATGAAGTTTGAGGATGTAAAGATTTCTCAAGTTTGTTGTAATGAACTCTTGCTGACAGGAACAAAGAACTGGATTATGTAAACATATATAATAATTACATGGGTTATATGTTATTTGATTTGTTGAAATTTGTTGTATTAAGTCGTGGTAAGTATAAGGAAATGTTTTGGATTATTTACATTGCATTTTATTTGCATACACATATTTTAATATGCATGTGCTCTTATATAATATTCATATTATTTGGTTTCAAGAAAACATACTGAATTTTTAAATTCATTTAAATTACTTCCTTTATGTAATTACTGGTCACGTTATTTTGAGAATGAACTTGTTAACTCTGAAGTGTTGGAAGTCAGTGATTTGAAAGCATATCATCTGTAAACATTCATGGATATGATAATGTGAAAATTATGAATACAAGGAAAGTAAATCTAATAAAAAGGCAAAAATCTCATTGATATGAATATCTTAGACAAAATAATTCTTTAAAGATTTAGAGTACAGAACTTCACCATATTCTCCTGAATAATGTGACTGGGCAATTCCAATAACAAGTACAGCATGGGAATCTCAAGATAAGTATCACAGAATGTGAATGGAATACTGCAAGTAATGCATCACAAGCATAACTTTTGATTTATGATTTTTAGAACATTGTGTGATTAAAATTCTGTCCTAGTCCCATCCTAGAGTAGCCTTCCAAATCTATACAGTTTTCACTATTCTGATACCATATGTGAACATTCTGTCAGATAATTATTTAATTAATTATTTATTTTTAATCTTTGAACTCCATTTTGTCTGTCTTATCTCTGAATTTGATAATACAACAAAATATCTTTGTAGCTTTGAAAGTATGATTAATTTATGGCCCATTTCAGGTGAATTTGAGTTTGATTCCCCATACTGGGATGACATCAGTGACTCTGCCAAAGACTTCATCCGTCAACTCATGTGTGTAGATGTAGAGAAGAGATATACCTGTCGCCAAGCATTAGCACATCCATGGTAAGCAACTTGAAACAAGTTTCACAGTCTGTATACAGATCCGGAAATCTAAATAATCAAAGGATACTTCTCAATATTGCTTTTTCAAAATTCAGATGGCCATAATCATAGTCTGTTTGAGTTGCTCTTTTATTTTTTTAACACAATGAAGAATTGTGTGTTCTGATAACAATATTACAAGGCAATAAATTAATTACCCAGGGTAGCACAGTTAGTGTAGTAGTAACTGGGCTGTGGGCTGGATGGCTGGGTTTCGTTTCCCAGAAGCGGCAGGGATTTTCCCTTTTCCACCACAACATTTATACTTGCTTTGAAGAGGTGAGCTGAGGTTAAGAATGTATAGAGCTATTCCTCAACTCCTCAGTTTGTTTTGATGACATAATGCTTAATTATCGTCAGAGACAACTGTATTTGTTTTATTTGATATGATAAATGAGCAGAGTTTCTTGATAGGGTCACATTTCAGAGAGGTATAGCTAAGAATGTCTTTTGATTATTGTTAAAAGGGGGTGAAAATTATTAGCAGATTCCACTACTAACTACACTACCCTCCTTTAAGAGGATCTGTAAATTCTAGGTTCATGTGTGTTTGATTGTCCTTTTCTCAGGTCATTTTAATTTGTATTCTCATTCCACCCAGACATGTGCTTTGTACAACCATTCATAGGCCACAACCACTCCTGTGCAAACTTACCAGTTCGGATTTTATCATGGTATTAATACCACACACCTTGAAACATATTGGGCCACTGTAACTATTTATATGCCCCCTACTTATACTGGTTTCATTTACTGTGCATAACAACTAACTAAATGCAGTAGGGTTCTACTTGAGAAGCCTATAGTAGCTCAGGTAGTCAAATTCCCCACCTTTTATGGAACCTACGTTGTTCACAGGAGCCTGTCGGTGGCCCCTATCCTGAGGAAACTGAATCCAGTCAACACCTTCCCACTCTGTTTTCATAAGATTCATTTTAATATTGTCTTCCAATCTATGCCTTGGCCATTCAAGTGGTCTCTTTCCTTCAGGCTTTCCAACTAACATTTTGTGTGTGTTCCTCATCTCCCCCTATGAAACCTTTCTTATCTTATCCTCTTTGGTTTGATCATTCTAGTAATATGTGGTGAAGGGTGAAAATTGTGCAGTTGTATGGTTCATAAAATTAACAAATATTGGAAATTGGCGCTGTGCGGCCAGGAGCCATAAGTGACCATTTCAGTGTGTAAAAGGTAATAATAATTAAAATTCTGTATAAGGCAGTCATTTGATAAGCTTGTAAGAAGAGGCGTAGTATTTTCTAAAACATAAGGTTTAACCATTTTGTTCTCTTACAGGATATCTGGTAATGCTGCCAGCAACAAGAACATTCATGGAACCGTGTCTGAACAGCTCAAGAAAAACTTTGCCAAATCAAGATGGAAGGTAGTACACATCTACACATTTATCACTTGAAAATAACTTATTTTATCTTTTCAATTTTTTTGTCTCCATTGCTGTGTGAACAATACCGCTTTCAATCCTGTGTGCCAGAGGTAGGAGTACCCCCTTTTCTGCCCCCTAATCAGTTATATTCAGTGAGTAAACCAAGGTGAATGAGGTTTCGGTTCTAAGAATTATTAATTCTTGTCCTTGTTATTATAAATGACATAATTTTTTAGTGTATAATTTACTTTCTCAAATGCAACTAGTATCCTTTTTTTGCAGGGTTTCTTGTAACAGATTACGCAAGTATTCTTGTTTGGAATTACATATATTGAGTTTGTCTGCCATCTGTAGATAGGTCCACAGAAGTATTTATTAGCATTGACTGATTACAGAAATAGTAAAAAGAAGTCTGACTGTTTTAAAGGATTAGAAGACATATAATGTTGCCAGCAGTAATAGGAAGAATGGAAACCACATTTCACCAGTACTTGTTTATTGATGTAGAAAAAACAGTACAGTTTTATAGCTGATTATTTATAAGTATTAAAGTATAAATAAAAATGCCCGAAATGTTAAAGTAACTTAGCCTGGCAGGATTTACTGCATATTAGTAATTGACAGTTAAATATGAAGATATGTAGCTGTCTTCTGGGTTGTAGCGCCATGTAGTCTGGTAGAAGTTTACCA